GGGGGGGGGGGTAACGGGGATTTCGCCTAGGGGGTCAAATTGGTTAGAAACGGCCCTGATCATACCTGACATACTCCATCCATCTTGAGCTCTCTAAGGATGACAGCCACTTCTCTTCAGACTCCTCAAAGGGATCTGCATATGCATATAAATACAGAAGCAAGCAGAAAGACACATTAGAGCCAATGCCGTTTCCACCTGGTATTAAGATGCTTTTTAAATGCATCTCCTGTGTGACCATCTAGACCCTCTCCTCTTATTTTGTCACACTGTAGATTCTACAGGAGCGGCAAATGCAGCACACAAATATGACTAAATAAATGAAGCCATTACTCTGCTTACAAGTAAAGGGGAAAGGAATCAAATGGAAATAATAAACATGGTAATGCCGATTTGGATCGTAATCTTGACATATTGACACTATGAAAGCAATCCTCTGGAAATGGTCGGCAGCGGAGAAGCTCAAAACATTTTAGACCCTGTTTACACCTGTATTTAACATTGTCCACTTGTGACAGGATTGACAAAAATGCATCTTAATAGTGTAAAGAGGGTTCAAATGGATACGGCAATAAACAGATGACTTACCACGAGTCAGCTTTGATATAATTTTACAGATTTTCATTCTCAGAGTATCAACTGTTTAAAAACTTTTCCAACTAACATGTTTTTAATGGCACCAGGAAGCACTGTGTGGGGTTCTTGGAACAATCTAAAACATTCCCTTACCATAGCCCAGACTTGATCTAAATTATTAACATGAATAAACCTGGTAAGGATTTCCTACAGTCTTATACGTGTACCACAATCATCCCTTTCTCAAACAGGGTATTATTGATTACCTATAACACAAATCTGCCTCAGTTTCAGCAAAGCAGCCTGAATATCCTGGATGTTTGGGAGGTTTTTGTCCAAATCCGACTTGAAAACATCACTGCGGAGGGGGTGGCTCTTAGTGATGGCACTGGAAATCCTGCAGAAACACAGAGGATTCATTGTTTTTTGAATATGACTGCCTGTATTGTTGGATCTGAACAGATCTGGCAACCCCACTGAGCTCATGTTGTCAAAAGATCTGAGATGAGCAAACAAGCACAATCACAACTTCTGATAAGTTTTCCCAAAACATGAGATAATATATATATATATATATATAAATCGCTGTTTAGAGTATATTATCAGCCAAAAGAGAATCTACTTTCTCACAACAGTACGATTATTGTTTAATTTCTCCTTAAAATGGTTTCTCTCTTTCTTACCGCTGCTCCACCTTCCTCTGCTGCTGCGGGTCACTGATGTTAGACATGCGGACCAGAGCACTCCCACTGGAGTGATTCCAGCACCATAACTACAAACCAAAGCGCACACACACATAAAAATACTCTTCAAATGTCTAATATGAGCCTACATAATATGTTGACACACACGGTTGACTCACAACTATTAAGTGCAAATCAATCTACCAAGTAAGACTTTTAGAGCTTAAATAAGACATGGTTTCTCATTCTGCAAAGTTTTTAACGAAGACACTAACTGGTGACTTTCTCTCTGAGTAAGAGCAAAACAGACTGGGGTAGTAAAAGTGATTTGTAGATTTCCTCCTCTTTCAATCCAAATCCAATAATCTAGCCTGGTAAATGACGCTCACCGGGATACGCTGGGAGTAAAAGAAGCAGGCGTATTGCTTCAGATCCTGATCCGCTAGAGATACCGGAACCACAAAGAATTCTGGGAGACTGCAAACAACAGAAAAAAGTAGTTACATTTCACATAAATGGCTCCTGACAGTGTGAAGCACAGTCAAATATGTGATGCTTCTTTGTGTCAGTATTATAAACACAATGACCTGATACTGAACTGTGTGTGGATCAGTGAGATCAGTGCTTTTATTCCAGAGGATTACTGCAGAAAGGACAACATTCCTGTCTGTCTGAGCAGATTTATGTGATCCGGTCATAATTTAATCAGTTATCACCGTCTTAACAGGAGATTGATTAGGATGACTAATTCAAGTCACTTTAACAATAACCATTTATATTGTACATACTCATCCCTGTGTTTCTGTCACATTCACTTGTTACATGAAGGTTATGAGTCATGCAGCAATGATCTTCAGCTTAAGGTGCTTATAATACAAGCTGTTTGCAAAATAGACCACAATTTACATGTAAATTCACATTCATACACTTACCTGGGCGAGATGAAATAGCCTTGATTTATGGTACACACTCTCCATTCAGAGGCGCCAATACGCTTGATCTCTCTGTCCCAGTCTGAGGAACAGTCGAACAGGGTGGTCTGCATCCCCCCACCAGGGTCAATGCCGCTCACCCGCTCACCTGAACAAACCACACGTGTACACGACTTTTTATAATAAATGTTTTAAAAAGTATTAGATAAAGTAAAAAAACTTGGACAATGGACACACACTGCATATATAAACCCTCTTCAGATCTACTTTATTGACATATTTTAACATTAATTTACATTGAAAGGCAGGATGTATTAGGTTTGCATTACTGGTGGCGTCACAAGCTCATCTAATCAAGATCAGGTTACTTTCTGCCATTCTGTCATGTCTTAAAACTACATGTTACAATACAGCCCAATGATAGCAGCCATATAAATCTTAATATTCATAACTTGAGCACTTTGCATTCCCTGGCAAGTCTTCTCATGTCCTGACTTGCAGGGAAACTGAATGTATGGACAGCTCAACTCGAGTTTGGCAGCTCTTCTGGAAACAGTGCGAATCATTTGCGGTCACGGCCACACATGTGTTTTCTTACCCGTTGATCCATGGTATCGCTTTCCGACGTATTCAAAGCCAAAGAGTAGCTGTGGGTCAGCAGGATGGGAGTAATGAGCGATGGCCAGACAAACCTGTAAAAGCAAATCATATATTCACATGACTAACACAAAATGACCTTCACTGTTTCACTGCAATTTCTTCAGAAAACAGAACTGAAATGTCATTACAACAAATTCCTCCTTCTTTTGTCTCACAATACAACTGTTGACATTTACTAACAAAATGTTTCCAGACCAATTAACCCTCGCAAATTCCAAATGCTCCATTACAAATGAGAAATGTACACCTCTAATCTTTGGAAGGGCATTTGGAAGAGAAAATTAGCCTGTGCTGAAATAATGCATACAGAACTGATATTTCTGCCACTGGGCACTGAAAATCAGCACCTGAAGTGCTTGATTTAAATTCTAGGCACAAAACACTGCTAAGGTGGTTTGTCCCGAACTGGTTGATATCCTCCACCCTCAGGACTGCATGGTGAAGTTTGGGAATTTTTCTTTCTTTTATCGGTTTTCCTACAACACCTGTTGGTTATTTCCTCTGTTTATTCCTTCAGAAGAGCTTTTCTTGGCACAGCTGTCGGATACAGGCATGGAAACATTCAACAACACTGTGCACAGAGCCCAAGCTAGGCTGGACTTTCAACCTTTACGACACTATCAACATTTCTCTTGCTGTATATTACATATTTCGCAGACGAGTCTTCAAATAACAAACGTACTCTGCATGACCGACGTCCCACTTGCATGGAAAGGGAGAGTTCACCCAAAAATTATAATTCTGTCATCATTCACTCACCCTTATATGTTTTCATATAATTTAATTTTAAAGGTGTAGTTCACCCAAAAATTCTAATTCTTCCAAACCCATAAGAGTTCATCATCGAAACACAAATAAAGACATTTTTAATGAAACCTGGGAGAGTTCTGTCCCTCCATAGTGTTTTGAATTTGAACAATAGTCTTATGGATTCGGCAGAATTTTCATTTTTGGATGAACTATCCCTTGTATAAAAACAAGAGTTGAAACCCAGAAAACTCGTTCACACAGAACGCGTTTTTGTATTCCACTGTACAAATTGTTTTATTTTCTATATAAAAATGTGCTAGATGTATTAGAAGTCTTTGACCATTGAGCTTGTGGATTTTGCAGCATCTTCTGCGTGACACAGCGTTCTAAAAACATGGCACCCAAGTTAAAAGAAGATTTTTTTTTTATTCCACTGCCCTGCATTTCAACACAAAAACGCATTCTGAGTGAATGGCCCCTAAATCTTGTGCTTCTCAAACAAAGAATTGAATGCTTATATTGGTAAAAGGACAAAAACGTACTTTTGTTTGCCAGCAGTGTTTCCCTATGAAGATTGGTGTAGGAAACTCTAAAGAAGAAAAACCTGGACTAGGGACAGACGTGCTGGGAATTACCAGTGACCACTGTATAGACTGATGACACATTAGGCATGTGAATTGAAAAGAAGCTCTGTAATTTCCAACTGGATATTATGAATTTACCAGTTGTTATATTTGTCCCATTTCTTTTTTTCCCAAGTGTCTATGCATTAATTCCACTCAGTAATTAGCCTAGCCTACAGGAAAATGACACATTAGAATCCAAAAACACACATTGAAGGAGACTCTCCTTCACAATCCAAATACAATATTTGACATTTACTTCCATTTTAATCCAATCAGAGCTGAGATGCCTAGAAAACTACTCGCATCAGATTCCCTTAGGCTCCTCCATAATACTAGCACCAGAATATGAATAAGCAGTGCGTGTTGCTACGGCTGTCAAGGAAACGCACTCTACTTGCCCTTCACGTAAGCTCCATAGTTTTAGCATTCACTGGCACTGAGGAACAAAAGCATCAGAGAAGCTCTGGAACGGAACTTCAGGATAAATGCGCGTGTTTGCTAAGCGCTCAGAAAGTGAGAGCCGCGCTCAAAGGGCTTTTTGTTTCTCTTGTTTCTTGTGGTGCTTTTCTTGCCCCTTTCTCCCCCTTCCTTCACACATTCTCGGGACCTGGCAGACTGTTTTGAGCTGAACTTTGGCACCTCTGTTTTCTTCCTCCCCATTTACTTCACTCCTTCTATACCTCTAGTTATTCCCCTTGAAGTTTGGGCCTTGTATTTGGTGGGTAACTGCAGGTGAAAAGCTTGGCTTCCCTCAGTCTTTTTCCCATTACTGAAAGGAAAACTCCCTTTTGCGCTTCCAAAAACATAAACAGCTCTAAGTGCAGCCTTTGAGAGTCTAGTGACTAATAAATGATGACTAACAGTCATACCAAAGATGCTGTGGAAACCGTTCATTTCGCTCTGAGTCATGCTATAGGAATGGCCAATCAGGGCTCGTTATACTGCAGGAATGACAGCCATTGAGTCAGGAGCACAATGTGGAATGTTTGTTTTACACAAAGTTCCATGTTGCCAGGCAACAGCAGCTGTTGTGAAGCAACAGGATGGGTTTTGTAGGCTGGTGTGAGTCACAGAGCTCAGAGTTCATGGTATGATCAGATCAGCTTGTATAAAGAGCTCTTTTTATCTGCTTTATGGCACAGATGTATAACGGGAGGGAGAGACATTCCTCAACAGAAAGAGCTTTATTTTATGAGGCAGAGAGCCTCTGATGGTTTTGGTGGGAACTTTCAAACACTCCAATATGCTTCACTGCAGTGCATTTTTTGGCCTTTTAAGTCTATCATCGGGGAAAAGCAAAAATAGAAATATGCAACTAACGTTAAAAATTAAGGGAAATCTTTTAGAACATCTGATTATCTTTTCTGTCTAAGACTTGAATGAAATTATGAAATCTAAAAATCAGATGGGACAGTATGAAAATAAAGCAAAAAAAAAATTGTAATAATATTACAAAATATACAAAAAGTTTGGGGTTAGTAGGTTGTTTAAATGTTTTTGAAAGAAGTCTCTTTTCCTCAAAAAGGCTGCATTTATTTGATCAAAAATACGGTAAAAACTGTAATATTGTGAAATATTATTACAATTTAAATTGACAGTTTTCTATTTAAATACATTTTAAATTGATAATCAAGATTATTTGATGAACAGAACAGCATTTATTTGAATCAGAAATATTTTTTAACATTATAAAATTTAACACGCCCTTGCTGAATACAAGCATTTCTGTCAAAAAACAAGTAAATAAGTCAATTGAATGGTAGTATATGAGGTTAAATAATGTATAAATCTCTCATTTTTATAGAACAACCCTGTTTAACAGCACCACCAGTGAATAAAGCTTTTCGTTTCTTTTTTTTGCCTCCCTTGAGCTCATTTTGATCTCAAAGTGGCGTGCATGTGAAGGGGTAACTGTGCAACAAGCGTGAAAACTCACGTGAGAGGAACCAGTTCCTCCCCTGTGAATGGCTGATTACACTGTCAACTGAATATTGCCAGACTGTTAGGATTGCAACCATTCCACAAATTTGTGAAAAAAAATGTAAGATGAATGGACCAATTTCAAAGTAAACAACTCACCCATATGGACATTACAGAGTTATTTCACATTTGAATCTAAAGGATCTTTGAGTAAAAATCTACCACACGCCACTGGTTTGCGTCTCGTGTATGAGGGGGTATAGCAGGAAGAGATGAATCTGTGACTGGTCATTACAGGTCTGCAGTGGGATCAGTGTCCACCAGACGGAGGTGGTGGATGAAAGCAATGCTGTCTAGGTAAAGAGACAAACTATAATCCACTCATCCTACAACCTCTCAGTTGGAAAGGGGAGAGAACGAGAGAAGAGACTTCCTGAAACACCACAGGCCTAGAGTTCTAGGAAAGGTTTCTTGCTCAAGTAGGACACTGACAAAACAAAATGAAATTAATTTGCATAAAACCGCATACACAAAAAGACAGAACACAGACTGAAATTAATATAACTCATTAGGGCTGGGTAAAAAATATCGATATCTCGATATTAATCGATTCTCATTTTTACGGAATGATATCGATTCTTAAATCCCAAGAATCGATTAGTCTAGCCTGTTTTCAGTTAATGGACGGAACACTGAAGGGCACTTCCCATCCAATATATCGCAATAAGCATTGTGCTTTGGTACTTTTAATATGAAACAAAGTCTCAGATTTCAAATTCTGTCCATTGTCTTGCAGTATTCAAACAATTAATGCCGTTTTGGCGCTGTTTAATGTGAAGTGACAGATCGCT